TTTTAAATAAAAACAGGAAGACGGACAATGCCCAGGATCACAGTAACTCTATCCATATATCATCAGTAACGTTACATCTCATTCCAAGGAGTCAGTCAGAGCAACAGCAACCAGGTTGTGTGTTTAGATATCGCCTGCTGTAAAGTGACCCAGTAGTGGAATAATGCGTTTCTTTAAAAAGAAACATTTTTAAGCGAGTGTATACAAATCATAAGGTTCATCGAAGAGATCCGATATGTACTCAAGTAACTTGTCATCCGGACGTTTTATTGCACATTCATCACAGGCCAGCTCTGGTCCGCGAACCACGATATGCATACCGGCTTCGGCAGCCTCAAGAAATAAAACACGCCTCGTCCTTTGAGACTGAAGCACTTTCCCTTCAAGCCACCCGTGAAGGCTGGGAAAGGAGCAGTCCCCCCCGCTTTCTTCCCAAGTTGTCCCCTTTCTTCTGTGAGAATGGGCAGGTCAATCCTCCTACACCCCCGGGCGCCATGTTGTTTTTCTGGTGTTTTGAACCTTTTGTTGATGTTCAGTGAACTCCCAAAGTGCACAAAAGATGGAAGTCTCTGCGTTGGAGAGCGGTGCGCGGCGCGTCCATGTTTAACTAACAAACTGACGAGGGCGAATGAACTATTGTGGTCATTTCGTATGAGGTTTCGTGGAACTTGATGGTTTACACAAGTCTGGTACGTTCATATGCTAACCAACGTTTCGGAGCAACATAATGCCTCCATAATCAGGTATAATTCTGGTCTGAACGATAAGATGTATACCGAAACTGTAACGAGGATTTCTTGCAGAACTGTGCTTGGAGCAAACAGCCACTTTCTAGAATAAGACGTTAGGAAGAATGATATTGATATGGACATTAGAGGGTTGGAGATGGAAAGAGCTGTCTCAGGTTCGTGTGCCGTGCTTGGCTGGGCCCATTTGCTGAGCTTAGCTGTTTGTAACGCATCCCGCTGAGCAGTGGCTAGTCATTCAAATCGTATCTTTCTAATGAGTCCATGCTGAATACGTGCCTCCTTAGCTTTTCTTCTGAAGACGGAAAGTGAACCCGAAAAGTAGTTTTAAATAAAAATTCCTCCGAAACGTCAAGTGACTTTCAACGGACTACACGGCGATATACCCCAGAAGATAGTANAGGGTACGGCCGTCGAAAGTCAAGAGACTTTTAGGTGGAATATTTCGCCTCCATATTCAGGGTCGAAAAATAAACCTAGCAAGAAATCAGCGTAAAAACAGATGGCAAGCAGAGCTAGTTCCTTGCTCGGCTCATTCTTCGACCTTGAAGATGGAGGCGAAGTGTTCCTCCGAAACGTCAAGTGACTTTCAACGGACTACACGGCGATATACCCCAGAAGATAGTACTGTTCATAACAACTATTGTGAGAACATCAGAATTCTAGTAGATTCTGTTTTGAATATACAGGTGTAAATAAATATATGTTGCAGCGCCCTGTGGTAGATAGATCGGTTCAACCTGATCATATTTTTGTTAATACACCCATGTACGGAAACGCATCCTTTTCGCACTAAGGGTCACAGAACTTTCCGTGAGGATGCATAAGTTTTGGTGAATGTTATCGTTGTTTTACATTATAAATTTGCTCAAAATGGCGGCCACCGACTCATTGCATGTTCTGCACCGCCTGGCCATGTTATGCTGAACTCTTTGAAAGATTCCCGGCATTTCCTGGGTGGTTCCAGCTGCTACTGCAAATCTTGCCACAAGATCATGTTGTGTCTCCACTGGAGTCTCGTAGACAAGGCTTTGCATGTACCCCCAGAGAAAGAAATCCAATGGAGTCAAGTCAGGGAGTGATGGGGCCAGGTTATTGGGCCTCCACGTCCAGTCCATCTGTTGCCAAAGGTTTCATCCAAATACTCACGGACGACATTAGTGCAGTGTGCCGTGGCGCCATCATGCTGGAACCACATTTCACGGCGGACTTCCAAAGGCACCACTTCCGGCAGCTCGGGTAAGGTCTCTTGGAGAAATGTTAGGTGAATATCACCAGTAAGCCACAGAGGTAGGAGGTGAGGGCGTCCTCCATCACATTTTAGAGGCCCTAGCGCATAAACAAAGCGTTTCCGGACATGGATGTATTAACAAAATGGGATCACACTGAACCCATCTATCTACCACAGAGCGTTGTAACACGTTTTTTTATATCCTGTATAATTGTACCAGAATTGCCATACCAAAATCTCGAACATACGGGACATTTCTTCCCTTAAGGTTGCCTACACCGGGTATGACGTACACCCAGAGATGAAAAGCTCAGCTTGTCGCTTGCTGCTGCTGTTTTCATGCTTGGCGTATTATTCTGCCCTGAAGATGGAGGCGATATGTTCATCCGAAACGTCAGGCTGTCTCCGAACTACACGGCGGTGCAACCCAGAAGGTCTTGCTCTTCGTATAGATAATTGGTATCATTCATTTAGACGGTTCCCGCCAGGACAGAAACTCCACCTGCTGATAGCAGTATTGTGTTCACAGGAATATGATAAATGCTGTAGTGATTTACACAACAGGACGCAACAAATTATGAGAATTATTCATAGTCAGAGTCAAGAGAACATCAAATCCAGCAGACAGTAATATATTTGTAATTTGCTCCGGCATGGGAATGAAGTTTATAAGCGTAGAAAATATTTCATTTCTGATTTATTGCAATATGCTGTCCAAATAAGAAGGTAAACCCTATCTTCTCTAACAGGCTGTGGAGGCCCTAAGGGTTGTAAGACGTCAAGGCTCCCACATTTTCTAGACAATAGAATCACAGATGGCGAGGAGGCTTTCACCCTTTAACGCCGGCCGTCTTTAACTCACAGGAAAATTCCTGGTACTCATTCCTGTTAGATGCTGAGTCGACCCCAGGATCTTAGTGAGGCTTGAAGGATTAAGTCAATTGAAAAGTCCAGTGACCTCATCGGGAATCGAACCAGCGATCCTCTGGCTTGTATCATAGTACCACAACCATGTACGCTACCGCATTCCCCCACACTGTCCCAGTACATTAATAATTTGCACTAACTCACTTCCCATAATATTTGGTGAGCCTGCCGCCCCGTGAGAGCTTCAATGAAGTGAGTTTACGTTGGAGTGAGTGAGGTTAGCACCCAAACCGCCCCCTCCCCTTCTATATGAGAGTTGGGCGGGTGTTAACGTTCAAATGGGCAGGAAGTAACTGGATTTTCCGGGACTGCAGAAATTTCTAGATGGTTTAAGGAAACATGAAAGAAATAAGATTTAAGATTAAGGTATGAGCTGAGACTTGAACTCCGAACTTCGGGTTAGAAATGTGGCCGAGGTTGATGCTTCAAGAGAATGATGACGTAACAGTGTGCGTCACTACCTGGTTATGTCACTCCCTCTGAGTTACTTTGGACGCTTCAGACTTACGATAAGGTTTCCCCTGTTCTTCAGCTGAGCTAAGTTACCG